ATAAATGTTACGCTTTATCTGATATTATTATTATATAATAGTTTATTGCGTCAGGAAAAGCAGTTTTTGTCTTTTATTCTCAAGAAAACTCCTCATGGCTTGCGTTACGAGCCATTGCCCTCAACCTACTCACACAGACATTAAAGAAATAGAACTTAATTATTTAAGAAGGATGATCTGCTAATATCCTAGATGATATCATCCAAGACCGTACGTATATAGAGGAAAGAGAAAACATGAATATTCTAAAAAAAGAGTCTGAATATGCTCCATTATTGTAATTACAAGAATGACAATATTTTAGAAGGGATGGAAATAAGGTGCAAGGGTCATAAGTGTACTTACAGGGTATATGATATGAATATAATAAATAAATAGATAAGATATACTGGATAATGAATTAATGCTTGAGAGCCTGCAACATCTCTTAATACTTTAGGTGAATTACTTTGCTTATATTAAACAATCTGATAAGACTAATAAAATGTAAATTTAATCTAAATCTACAGGATCAGATTTCATACTGTGAACCCCTCAAAAGCTTGCTTCTCCTACACCAGAAAACTACGGTATAACATCCGCATGGATACTCCGTGCGCGGTGTTACCTCTCTCAACTGTTACACAGTATTCCAGGCCATTCGCCCGTCCCCTCTTGACGCTCTGCACCTCTCTCTGCTTTGACATCAGCTGTTGTGCCTCCAGAGCATCCAGCTGAGGACGCAGAGAGGCGCAGCGCCGTGGCGTGATGGTGCTGTTATTAATTGTAGCGGGCCTCGGAGTGGTGACACTGCTGCTGATTTTATTTGCTCCACACATCAGGTAAGCAGCGCTCAATGCTCCTCACTCACTCCCACATCAATGCCTAGTGTTTAACACATCACGGTGTTAAGGGTTGTTGGTTGGTTGACAGGGAATTGCATTGCATTGCATTGGAGGGGGGGCAGTTATTACGCACAGTTAACCCGAGCTGTCATTTTTAAAGGGTTTATTTTTTTATTATTTCACACGACGGTGGCTGATTTTCTGAGCAGGAAATCAATGAAACAGAATGATGGAGCTTTTTTTTCCTTCTATGCATAGAGATGAACCGGGAGTCTTCCATCAGAGCTCGGGCCTATCAGGAGGCTGAGCGTGGGAGGAGTTATATATGTGTGCTTTACTCCCAACAGAGCTATTGGTTATGTGGCGGGCCTGGCTCAGTGGCGTGGGTCGTACGACTTGACGCTCCAGTACTGTTCACATTATCCAAGTTCTTCTCTATGAATAATTAAGCCAGGGCTGTCCATATGTCCAATCCTAATGGGGACATGACTTGTAGGCTACTGACTGCAGTAGAGGGGGTTATTAAAGTGGGAGCTGTAAGTATTAATCATTGTGTGTTAATAGGAAATATGCAGCAGGAGGAGTGTGTCAGTCCTCAGCTGATCTGGAGGGAAAGACAGTCCTCATCACTGGAGCCAACACAGGGATTGGGAAGGAGACAGCCCTGGAGCTGGCAATGCGAGGTGACTTTTTATTGTAAAAATACACAGCACAACACCTCTTTACCCCCATATCTATAATCCATAAGCTACTCCCTCTGTAGGGACGCAATAGGATTGAAATCAGTACGTTTTAAGTTTATATCCAATATCAAAGTGTATCTATATATTATGGGATGATATATTGACATTTATTATTATATGAATATATGTTATGATAAGGAATATATTCTTAATAATGTTCAGTACAATCAACTTTGTTAAACTGTTAAAGGTCCAGTGTGTAACTTTTAGGAGGATTTATTGGCAGAAATTGAATATAATATTCACAAGTATGTTTTCATTAGTGTATAATCACCTGAATATAAGAATCTGTGTTTTTCGTTACCTTAGAATGAGTCGTTTTTATCTACAGACGCCGCAGGTCGCCTTCCATGAAGTCCGCCATGTCGAACCGCCATGTTTGTACAGTAGCTCAGAACTTACAAACCAAACACTGGCTGTAGAGAGGGATTGTTTCGCAGCCACCGTAGTTTCTCCTTAACGCTTTGGAAGGGAAGGGTGACAAAAAGGAGTTTCAGTCCGCAACTACATCGCACATCAGACAAAACTCTTAAAGGACCAGTGTGCATTAAGTGGCATCTAGCAGTGTAGTTGCAGATTGCGACCATTTGAAGACGGCTCACCCGTTCCAAGTCGGTAGAAACAACAGTAATGCTTTACCTGAGGAGTGACGCAAGATGTGGGTCTAACTTTGACAACCACATCACTGAGCAACAAACTTAAACCAGAGACCACTTTTAATAATGAATTAATGTAGGTTCTGATTTCTTCTTCATAGTTAAGCTGATTATTTTTCCCACGACAGGGGCCCGGGTCATCATGGCGTGCCGAGATGTGGACAAAGCAGAGGAGGCTGCGGCCAGTATACGAGCTGCGAATCCCAAAGCACAAGTGGAGGTTCGACAGCTCGACTTGGCAGACACGTGCTCTATACGAGCCTTTGCACAGAAATTCCTTCGAGGTGAGCACAGAGTCGCTGTTTGACACTCACAACTACCTACAAAGCTCCCTCGTTGTTGTTCTTTAACAGCTATCACAGCTGCCGTGGTTCTGTTTATTTGTGATGCTTCTCTTCTTTAGAGGTCAACCATCTTCATATCCTCATCAACAACGCTGGGGTGATGATGTGCCCCTACACAAAAACCATCGACGGCTTTGAGATGCATATTGGAGTCAACCACTTGGGTAAGACCGAGTTGACATTTATCCGAATCAATGAAGAAATCAAAGCTTAAAACAGGACTGAAAACCTGACGGATTAACTGACTGGATCAGAAAATGTCATGCCTAATGAGGCAACTCGTAACATTTTATTTACTCTGCTGTAGATGAGTTTGGAACATATTAGTCATTTAGTCTGTAGTTTTACATACACATTTCATAAGCATAATTTGAGGTTTAATTTCTAGTTAACCTGCTTTTGGATCCTGACATAGTCGTTAATAAAAGAGCTGTTACACAGTTTTTTAGTGGTAAATTATGAGGTTGTCTGATATAGATAATTTCATAATTTAAGAAGCCATCGCTATTAACAAACACATAGTAATACACAGTTTTAACCTGTTGTTTTCTCTACGATTTTAACTATAAAGTGCAAGGTAAAGTGAGTTCACATTTAATTAATTCTTGTTTGACTGGATCTCTTGCTCAGCCAGAAAATACTATGATAAATAAATGCAAATTATAAAGACAGTTTCAGGTGAACAGAAACCCAGACTGTGTGTTCTCAGCACTGACTGTCTATGTGTCTTAACGTCTGGCAGGGCACTTCCTGTTGACGTACCTCCTAATCGGGCAGCTGAAGCGCAGCTCTCCGGCCCGGATCGTGGTTGTCTCGTCTCTCGCGCACAACTTCGGCTGGATCCGTTTCCATGACCTTCACAGCCAGGGGAGCTACAACAGCGGATTGGCTTACTGCCAGAGCAAATTGGCAAATGTGCTCTTTGCCAGAGAGTTGGCGCGTAGACTCAAAGGTACACAAACACACGCATATAAACAAACACGTAAAACATGGGAGAATGGACAGGTGGACTGCCTGCAGTAGTAACAGAGAGAGGATTGGTGATGCTTGGTGTCTAGAGCAAGGGTGCCCAATTTTCTCCTAGAGGGACAAAACTGAAACTTAATGGTGGGCCGCGGGCCAAAAGCAATCACCCATTGTATTATATTGTTAAGATGCAACATGGTACTAGGATCTCAAGCAATAATTTGGGATCCTGCACTGTAACAAAATACTGTAAAAAAATGGTACTATACTGTAGAAAACATTGCATTATGGGCAGTATTTGCCGTTTCCCACGAAATACTGCAATATACTGTGAATAGTGTTGCATTCTGGGGGTGAAGGCTCGCAAATACAGAATGCTATAAATTCAAACAGCATTTTTACCTCCCAAAAAACTAAAACAGACAACAACCAACTAGATTAGGAGTGAGACCAACAACAACTTAACCAGTTGTTTTTGGCAATGTTGGTGTTTCAAGACCATCTAGTGCACAAAAGTATATAAAAAGTTTAAACTCATACAAGTAAATGAAGGGCTCTGCTCTAAAATGAGACACTCATTATTATTTACTCA